CATTGAATCTTTCCTGTTCCTTCACCCACTAACCTCTGCTGTCCTAGTGATTTCCCTCAACCTGGGAGAGTCTAGACAACATTATGCTGAATGAAATAACTCAGTCTCATAAGGACAAATACTGCATATGACTATTAAATTAAAAATAGATAACTGAGAAAGATGTGTATAGAAGTCCAAAAGGAGAAGAGGGGTGGAAATCACATTGGATGACAGAGCTTGATGAGTGTAGGCAGGAGGTTAGGATAGATCCAGTGGGGACCTGAAAAGACAGGGTAATAATGGACATAGATCAATGGTGATTAATTTTATACAATATAATTTCTATGTATGATCATATGAAACATGATGTGAATGAAGTAATGTGTGAAACAAAGAGTACGTGAATGAAATACGGTGTATATGGACTTTGTATGCAATCCAATATGAAATGAGTTTTTTTAAAAGGGGGAAAGACAAAGGGAGAAGGGGTGAAAAAAGGGGAAGGAGAGATACCACTTGAAATGAGCTGACATTTGGTTGCTGTGAGCTTGAGGATGCAGCCTGTGTGACCAGATGCCTGGGAATCTGTCTCCTGGCAGCGCTGGCCTTTGAAGGCTGAGTGAGGTGTGAGTGGGGGCAGGGAACTCGGGCTTGCTCAGGAGAATCCGCTTTGCCATTTACACTTTCTAAATGGCAGCATCTTGGGAATCTTTCCCTGCCTGCTGTTTTCCAAGATCAGTCCTAAGATGGTCTGGGCGAGTACCAATGTCTTACCTGATTCTAGAGCAAAACCAGGTGAGTCCCTGTACCTCTTTTGTTTTCACATGTCAGTAGTAAACCGGCTTAAGCCTTAATGAATCTGCTGTAGTTTATGAAAAAGCAGTGCAGGTTATGAACTGTAAGGAAATTGGTAGAAAGGACATTTTCATTAAAATGACATACCAAAGCAGAAACAATGTTTTGTTTTTATCTAATACATGACTTATTTTAATGAGCTCAAGTGTGCTGGAGATAATGAGAATGGCATCAGACAGGGCAGAGGTCAGATCTGTTGGCCATAGGGTCACTATGAGTAGTATTTGTCTCAATGACTCTAACAGCAGCAGCAGCAGCAGCAGCAGCAGCAGTAGTAGACGACCTCTGGTGGCCTAGTAGTTAAGGAATTGCACTGCCAGCCTAAAGGCAAGCAGTTCAAATCCACCAGCTGTGTGGGAAGAAGATGGATGATCTCCTCCTGTGTGATTTACAGCCTCTAGAAACTCGATGGAGGGTCAGCTATGAGTTGGTTCCAACTTGATGGAAATGAGTTGCATTGACTAGTATCAATGGTTGAGTGCTGTCAACCACAACTCACAATGACTCTGTGAACAACAGATCCTCCCTGCCCTTTCTGTGCCAGTATGATCTCCATCATGCTCAAGGCCCGTGGTTGAAGTCCCTAGGTCAGTCCATCTTATTGAGGGCCTTTCTCTCTTTGACCTTATGTAATAATAATTTAAAAAAACAAACCAAAACCCTAAACAAAATAACGAAACCTGCTGCTCTCAAGGTAAGGCCAGCTCATCGTGGCCCTGCGTCAAGTTTCTTGGGCTGAAATCTTTATGAGAGGAAACTCTTCCTCGGATCAGCTGGTGAACTTGGCCCACTAACCTTTCACTTAGAAGCCTGACACATAACACGCTGTGGCACCGGGTCTTTTTATGTACCTGATTTGTATTTTGGAGCCTTTGGTCAGTGCAGATGGTTAACACACTTAGCTGGTAATGGAAAGATTGGAGGTTTGAATCTACCCAGTGACATCTCAGAAAGTTGCTCTTAGGGATCTACTTCTGACCAGTCAACCACTGACACACATAATGTGCTTTATGCAGCACGTTCTCTGACGCACACGGGGTCACCATGAGTGAGCACCACCCCACAGCAGCAGGAATATCTTCCTAGTAGCTAAGGGATCTTATGTGCTAAGCAATTAACTGTAATGAAAATTCCATTTAAAAAAAACTGTTTTAAAGTTATGTGTTTCTTTGCAGCACAAAGCACTTCAGCAATGCTCAATTTTATTTTCATTTTTTAAAATTGTGATTCTAACGGAAAATTGGGTTTACCTTCATCATCGATGTGCATTTTCCTTCCTCTCCCCTCCCAGTTCACTTTGTAATGCACTTCTTGTTCCAGGTTGATTGTCACACATTCGCTGCCCAGTCACACATTCCTTTCAGACAGTCCTTTCCTTCATCTGTTCCAGTGTAGTGTTCACTATCTACCCGCTCTCTCCTGTTCTACACTGGCCTGACTCGGCTCAGCAGCACCTAACAACAACAACATAGGCATGCAAAAGCTGGACAGTAAATAAGAACCCTGAAGAGCAGATGTGTGTGAAAAGGTGGGCTGACCTGACCTGGGGCCGGGGGCCTTTGGAGTCTCCTTCCACTCTGGAAGTTAGCTGGTTGGCTGATGTCTCGGAGGCAGTCAGGCAAGGGACATTTCTGGGGTCCTTCAGGCAAGGGACATTTCTGAGGTCCTTCTGTTGTGTGTTACTTACTGTTGTGACTAAGGGCAAAGGCCAAGGCCTGCTCGACCGTGTGACTGTAAAGTCCTGTAGGGCTCTTGGGCCAAATTACTAATTTTAGAAGAATATTCTTTTAAAGACACAGCAATCATTTGTCTATTTGCTGTACTGAACACTTGGGAGTTGCTTTGATGCTGAACTATTCCATAGTCGTGTCAGATACCGTAATGGTTACCCATTATGTACAGTGTTTGGAGGAGCTTCCAGATTGATTCATGTTGGGAAGCAGGAGTGGCATCCACTTCCTAAATTACATGCCTCTGGAAACTCTGCAAGCTCTCTTATAAATGTCCAGAAACGTTGTTACTTATAGAACAGAGTTCAGGTCTTTTGTGCAAAGCTTACTCTCAGTCATATTCGACTTGACAACACTTAACCACTGCTAAATGAGACTAGTGCTGTTACATCTGGAGGAACATTTTTCTACTTTGCACATCACTCTTTGTCAACGTGCTGTATGAGGTAACTTGGGTTTGCTGTGATGCTGAACCTTGTGCCATGGGGATATCAAACACCAGAATGGTTTCCCATTATGTACAGTGTTTGGTGGAGCTCCCAGTTGTAAAACAGGTTGGGAAGCATGAGTGGCATCCACTTCCTAAACTACATGCCTCTGGAAACTCTGTGGACTTGGAGAAACAACGATAGCTATGGAAAGACATTAGATCTTTTGTTCATAGAGTTGTTATGAGTTGACCTCGACTCAATGGCAATCAACAACAGCAACAGCATACATCAGCCGTGGAGTGACAGTGAGATGAACACATCTTGTTACAACCAGAATGGTGCTTAGAAGCAGGGATGGTGAGGCTTTATCTTATGAAGTTTGGCTGTGTTATCAGGAGGCACTGATCCTAGATAAGGACATCATTCTTGGTAAAGGAGTTGTTTACCATTGCGTTAGAATAGACTCATACTCATAGCGGACCCTCCAGAGCACTTTCTGAGGCAGTAAATTGCATGGGAGGAGACTGCCCGTCCTTCTCCCATGGAGCAGCTGGTGGATTTGGATTTGAAGCACGTGCCTTTGGGTTGGCAGCACAACCCTTTACCACTAAGCCACCAGATTTCCCTGGTAAAGTGGAAGGTTAGTTAAAGGGGAAAAAGGGGAAGAAAACAACTATGAGATACCATTCCACCCCAGCAACAATACCAGAGTTCAACAGGGCAGCAAATAACAAATGGTAGCAGCTTGTGGACAAATTGCAACTTTTATTCATTGTTGATTGGAATGGAAAATGGTACAATAATTACAAAAGGTAGTCTAGCACTTTCTCAAAAAGTTGGAAATAGAAATACCATTTGACCTAGCAATTCTACTACCAACATTATACGCTAAAGAAACCAGAGCTGCCACCCAAACAGATCTATACACACCCATGTTTATTGCTGCATTATTCACAGTAGCAAAGATATGGAAGCAACCCAAGTGCCTATTAGTAAATGAATGGATAGACAAACTATGGTACATCCACACCATTGAATACTATGCAGCATTGAAAAATGGTGACATAGTAACACTTTATACAACATAGCCCTTGAGGACATTATACCAAGTGAAATATCTCAGTCACAACAGAATAAATACTGCATACAACCACTGTTATAAAATAGGATGCCCCTGGGGTGTGTGTGGAGGCAACGGGGAAAGACTGAATACATAGTGAACACTGCATTAGAACAGATGAGGGGAAGAACTGTCCAAAGGAATGTATGATTACGCATTCTATGTATGAGAACAATCTGGAACAAAGGGTACATTGTGGTGTGGGCTGAGAGGAGGAGGAGGGAATGTGGGAGAGAAAATGTGCAACAATGAATGAATTAAAAAAAAAAGTCCTTCAAAGAGCCAGATTGATACGATAGTGTAGTAAGTGGACTCGGAAATGATAGCTGTTGCAAGGGTAGTACAAGACTGAGCAGCTTTTTGTTCTGTTGTACATTGAGAAATGACATGGTGATAGGAAATAGCAAAACATAGTAGTAACCAAAAGAACAAACAGATAGGCCTTGGAGAAGGTTCAGCTGTAATGTTTCTTGCAGGCAAAGATGATAAAGCTTCATCTCACGTACTTTGGGCATGTTACTAGGAGAGGCTATTCCTTGGAGAGGAGTATCATGCTTGCAAAGGCGGAGGGTTAGGGAAAGAGAGGAGAACCCTCAATCAGGTGGCTTGACAGAGGGACTGCAGCAGTGGGCTCAAGTGTGTCAGAGAGTGTGAGGGTGGCACAGATAGGACAGGGTACAGAGCTGTTGTTCATAGGACAGCTACGAGTCATACTTGATGGCACCTGACAGCAAGAAGTAGCAGCAGCATCCTCTTACGTGTTATTTGTAACAGTGTCGGGTACCACATTTCCCCTTGTTGCACCTCCGTCGACAATCCCTGCAGCTCTGACTGGCTTTGCTCTTTCTGGTTGAATTCTAACTGCTCTCTGATTTTTCCCAGAGGTCTCAGCGTTGTCCCTGATGAGGAAGTCATTGAAATGTACGAAGGATCCCATGTGCCCTTGGAACAGATGAGTGACTTTTATGGGAAGGTGATGATAAGTATTGTACTTCTTTAAAGTATTACTTAGTAGTGTTATGAAATACAATTTTTAATAGTATTATTAATTATAATTTAGGGAGCACTGGTGGCCTAATAGCAAGAAGCTGCACTGCAGTCTCAAAGGCACGCTGTTGGAGGCCACCCGCTGCTCTGTGGGAGAAGGATGGGCATCTCCTCCTGTGTGATTAACATCCTCTAAAAACCCGCCAGAGGGTCAGCTATGGGTCGGTTCCGACTCGATGGTACACAACAACAAGAAATAACTTAATATTATTTGGTAATAGTATTATTAAATTTAATAATAATAAAGAATTTAACATTTAATAATAACATTTTTAAAGTGTTCTTTAAAGCAAAGTATTGTCGTTTTTCCTTCTTACACTGCACTCTTGTCTGTATAAGGGCTTGAACTGCGAGGTGAGCCTCACCTATTGTTCATGTAGAATTAACAAGGAAACGGGAGATGGTGTTTTGCGGGACCCCGGTGGCACAGTGATTAGACATTCCGCAGCTAACTGAAGGATGAGTGGTTTGAACCCTCCAGAAGCTTCCTAGGAGAAAAAGCCCTGAGGCTCTTCTCCTGTAAAGATGACAGTCTAGGAGTCCTGCGGGCACTTGTGCGCTGCCCTCCAAGGGCACAAGGAGCCGAGGAGGAGCCAGAACGCTCTTGGCAGCAGTCCACAACATTGGTTAAGGAGGACTACCCTTCCCTTCTTCATCAAGTTCTTTCTTGATTTCTTCTTTCGTAGCTTTTTTCCTGCCTACCTGATTAATGGGAAGTTTTGCTTTATTTAAGAATTGGAATTTTCAGTGTGAAAGTTCTCAAAGTTGACAGCTAGACTCCATTCTCACCCACCCATTGTCATTGAGTGACTGGCACAGAGCGCCCCTCTGGTGGGTTTTTGGAGCCATAAATCTTTCAGGGAGGAGGCTGCCCATCTATGTCCCACGTGGTAGCTGATGAACTCGAACCGCTGACCTTTTGGTTAGGAACACAGCACATAGTACATTCCGCCACCAGTACTCCTTTTAAAAATCCCTTTTAGCACATGGACTCCCCCTCCTGCTTTCCTGTACGATTCAGATGCCTCTTGTCTCTGCCGTTGAGGTCAGCCTTCCCTTCCTAACGCGTGCCTTTCCGCCTGTCTGCAGAGTTCTCACGGCCACACCATGAAGCAGTTCATGGACATCTTCTCCCTGCCGGAGATGACCCTCCTGTCCTGCGTGAATGAATACTTCCTGAAACACAACATCGACTATGAGCCTGTCCACCTCTACAAAGATGTCAAGGTTGTATCAGCCGGGAGAGATTGGTCGAGTCGTGTTTCTGTTAGCTTTGCAGTGGACGCCATGGAGTCTTTAGCTTGCTTTGTTGAGCCAGTATTTGAAATAGTCTGTACGGAAAATTTTTTACTTGTGGTTTAATCTTGAAAACTATAAGAAAGATACTGCTATATCAGAAGAATTGAAAAGGAAATAAGGCTTTGTGCTTTGTTTTTTTTTTTAAAAAGGCAGTGCTCACACTCTTACTTGGGTTTCTTTTTTTTTTTTTTTTGAGAAAAAGATGCATTCTTTATTCTATATTCTTGAGTAACGCTACATTTCTACAATACTTACCAATAAAACTATCATAGGGGTTTTTTTTCAGAATTTTTTTTTAAATTTTAATGAAAGTTTATAGAGACATTGGATTTCCATTCATTCATTGTTGCACACTTTCTTCCCTGCCCACCCCTCCCTCCTAGCTCACTTTTCTCTTTGAAAAGTAAAAAAAAAAAAATTTTTTTTTTTTTTTAACCCCCCCCCCCCCCCCCCAGTCCACTCTACTATGCAGCTTTCATTCTGGACTCTTGTATGACAGTAATACCTAATCATATATTCTTCCTAAACAGTCTCTTCCTCATCTATTTCAATGCATTATTTATCCCAGCTCCGATGTCAGTGCCACTTTACAACACTGGCATTATGCAGTATTTGTCCTTTTGTGACTGAGATATTTCACTCAGCATAATGTCCTCCAGAGTCACCCATTTTGTATAATATTTCATGAATTCTTTGTTTTTCAATGCAGCATAGCATTCTATTGTGTGAATCTACCACAACTTCTCTGTCCATTAGTTTGTTGATGGGCACTTGAGTTGTTTCCAACTGTTTGCTATTATGAACAAAGCTGCGATAAACATGGATATGCATATATCTGCTTGGGTGGCATTTATGGTCTCTTTGGGGTATATTCCCAGTAATGGAATTGCTGGGTCAAATGGTATTTCTATTTGCAACTTTTTGAGAAAGCGCCATACCGCCTTCCACAGTGGTTGCACCGTTTTACACTCCCACCAACAGTGAATAAGGGTTCCAGTTTATCCACAACCTTGCCAGCATTTCTGTTTTGCTGATCTTACTGGGATGAGATGATATCTCATAATTGTTTTGACTTACTTGGGTTTCTATCCCTTTCTGATTAGAAGGATTGAGCCTGCACACCTGGCTAACGGCAGGGTCTGAAATCTAGATTTGCTGTGCTGCTGCAGTGTTTGTGTGCAGGAACAGGCGCTTTTCTGGGAGAAGAAGTGACGTTGGTGCCCAGGTTTTGCGACTGTGGATGCCCAGCAAAATCTACAGCTGACGAGTGGATTCCAATTCAGCAATCCCCTCATGCTGGATACTTTAGACCAGACAACCTCTAGTTTGGTAGTTTAACACAAACCATCTACTGCCTTTTTCTGTTTGATAATCAAGATTCTATACAGGCTCTTTAAGGTCTTGCAGAAGCCACACATGAATCCAATTAGAGAGAGCGTAGTTATGTGGTAAATAAAAATGTTATCATGTATAATATACAGTGTGGAGGGAGCGCTGGTGGCATAGAATGTTGCATGTTGTAGTGCTAACTCAAAGGTTGATGGTTCAGTTCTACCAGAGACTCTGTAGGAGGAAGAGGGGCAGTCTCCTCCTGGGAAGATTTGACAGCCTTGAGAAAGTGGAGGGTCGCGGTCACTGTGAGCCAAATTTGACTTGATAGCACTGGTTTTTATAAAGTATTATATCTTTAGATTGTTCTCCCCTCTCTCTATGTGTAATATGTATTTTTATTTATCCTCGCAATCACAGTTACATTTGTGTTTGTAAACATTCTTTTTTTTTCTATATTTTATTAATTTTCATAAACATTTACAGAGATTTTGGGTTTCTATTCATTCATTGTTGCACTATTCTCCCTACCCTCCTCCCAGTTTGTTCTTGTCCAAATGCCACAGTGCTTGTCAAAGCCAGTTCTGATTAATCTTCTTTGTCAGTGTGTCCTTTGCCATTCCCTATCACTCCTCCCTGAGAGAGACTTCACCCTGAGTCATAAGGAAAAGGGGATGGCGTATTCTCTTAGCTACTTCCTGCTGAAAAGGGACGCTGTGGGTTTCAGGGTGAAGATCTTCTCTCACTACTCTAAAGAGGGCCCCTTTGGCAGTAGGAAACACATAGACTATTATGGAGATTGATTTTGGAATTTAGATGCACTCTTATTGATTGTGCTTGGCCGTACATGTTCATATCCTTGAAGATGTATCATGGGGGTGTTGCAACCTAGAAGACACAACTTTGACTAACAAGTTATAAGTACATGAGTCCAAAAATTATGGAAAAGTAAAAGAAAAGATTCTTTCATTGTTTTACAAACCCTCCCCCAGGTCTCCTCCACCATGTAGCCCTCGCTCTAGTCTCCTGTGATGACAGAAATACCTAGTCACATATCTCTTTTAAACAGTTTTCTCCCTTCTCTGTTTCAGTGCAGTATACATTACTGAACCCATCTTACTCAGTCTCTCCCCAACCATTCTTCAAGCTGTCTGGAGTTTTTTTTTTCCAATATTGAATTTAGATATTTTCAGATAATACCGGTATTTTTAAAAGGTACATATTTATATACCAAAGCACATATCACTTCAGATTTGATCCACACCGAATCTTGGGGTATTAGAAAGACACAGGTTGAGTTATAGCTTCTCAGCATCACACTGGTATTATTTAGGCTAAATTGAAACATTCAGTTTCTAGTCTTCAGGTGTAAATTTAAGAATCCTTATTTGCCACACCTTTTTGTGCTTGAGGATGCTGGCTTGGAATTTGAGTGTTAACTGTGTTATCGCTGCTCGTAGCTAACATTTAACACTTTCTTGCTGGGAGAGTTCTTATAGGTGCCTTATGTATATAAATGAATCCTTGCAACAGTCTTTTGACCTGGCTACTGTTATCATCCCCATTTAACAAATAAGAAAATTGAAGCACAGAGAGGTAAAGAAACTTGCCAGAGATCACACAGCCAGTAAGAGCAGTGCCTGGATTGTAACTGAATCAGTCCAGCCTAGAGTTTCAACCCCTGTTAACCGCTGCCTTCTGCAGGCTGTGTGAAATTGCAGCAGGCTTCCGCTACAGGGTCGCTGAAACTAAGTGTATAGTGTAGAGCGGACCTCTCTTAATAGAAATCTCCCACCCACAGTCAAAAGCCGAGAGCACTGTTTGGCCTGCTCACCCTACCCCTGCTCCCTAAAGGGCCCAGTACCACCTGCAGTGACATCTGCCACAAATCAGGTTGCCACACCCCTGAAGGTAGATGGGGTTCAGCCTCCTCTTCCTCTCCTTGTTCCTTATCCTGTGTCCGTCTGGCTGCATCCTCTCTCTGCCTGAGCTCCATCTTGCAAATAGTTGCCCCATGGGTCTCCCTGCAGAGGTGTGGAGGATCCCATTGTGTGTCTGAGCCCCTCATTGTAGACCACAGAAGTCTGAATTGGGGTTCAGGGATGGACAAGCGGGGAAGGGATGAGAATAGTTTGATTCCCCTGGTGCAGATCATCTGGAATCATTCATTCCTGATCCTGCATACGGATTTGCTACTCAACGTGTGGCACTTAATTCAGAATTATTTACACAAACTGCCTCCTCCCACTGACCCTTTTGACAGTTGCAATGGAAACCACCACTGTCACCATGGAAACTTGAGCTTTGCCCGAGGGGCCACCAGAATTTAGATCATGCCGGTGCTCGGATGCTGCCAGACTTCCAAAGACGAGAGTTACTGGGGAAGTGTTTTCACGTGGGCTGCAGCTTGGGCAGCTTCCTCAGTTACGGTTTCACTGACTAAAACTCTTATCCTTTGCCAGGATTCAATTCGCGATGTCCACATCAAAGGAATAATGTACAGAGCAATCGAAGCAGATATCGGTATGTACTCAGCAGCGCTCAAGACTGACTCCGTCTTTCCCTTAACCGGGCAGCTGGGCTCGCATCTCACTTTGCCTTCCACACGCTGAGCCTTTGCGTGCCGTTGGATTTGCATGTCAGTGCAAGGACCTTGCACCTTTGCACTGAGGCCTCTCCCCATTCTTTGTCCTGAAACTTAACATCCTTCCTCCTTGTAAGGCAAAGAGCCCGCAGCTTTAGGTTCTCCATGGAGGGGGAGGAGGCGGGTGTTCCCTGTTACTGATGCTCTTGTGCCACATCCTCCAGCCGGCTTCCTAATGAAGCTTGTTCCCGACGCCATGCCCAGGGAGGTGCTGCCCCCACAGGCCCCACTTTGTAAGTCCTTGCAGATTGACTGGTTTTGTGCTGAACCTGGGTGCGCATTTCCCCCCTTGCTCTTAGAAAAATACATCTGCTACGCCGAGCAGACGCGCGCAGTGTTGGCCAAACTGGCAGATCATGGCAAGAAGATGTTCCTCATTACCAACAGCCCCAGCAGCTTTGTGTAAGTCTCTCTTGTTCCTTGCTGGCTTCTGGCTCTCTTGTATTCCGTTTATTGTAGCGTTTGGAAACTAGAAAGAGAAAAGTCCGTAAATAACGAATCCCTTTCACCTCAGACTAACCAAGCTGGCTTGTTGTTCTAGGGACAAGGGGATGCGGTATATTGTTGGAAAAGACTGGAGGGACCTGTTTGACGTGGTCATCGTTCAGGCTGAGAAGCCAAACTTCTTTAATGATAAGCGGAGGTAAGTGTTTCCCCTCCGAGGAGGCTGGATTTGAATTCATTTGCTGCTATGACTGTAGTATCTCAGGGTGCAATCTAGTTGGAAAATCATAAGCATCCGAGAGGATAGCTTTTCTTATCATCTGGCAGATCGTTCAGCTTGGGAGTATTTATTGCAAAGCAGGAAGCTTATACAACTTGAAATGATTCTCAGATCATCTTGATCTGCTCCAGACCTGTGAGTCATGCACTAAGAAAATCCAAAAGCAATAGCTCTGAGTAAGTTAGGGCTCTTGATGCAGCCAAATTGTGAAATAGAACTAAACAGCAGTAATAATAAACTGTCAGTGGGCATTTCTTTTAATAAGAGAGTCTTGTTGATTCAATTAAAATTGCAGTTGGACTTTGCACATATGCCTGGATCACAGGTTTTGCCTCAGGTGAAATGAATCTCTACCAAGACTCAATGTGCTGTTTTTCTGCACAACAATCTTATTAAATGGGGGCATGGAGAAGTTTTGGGGTGTGATTGTGGTGGGAGTGTGCTCTTGAGTATTTAGTGAGAGGGAGACAGGGATGTTAACGCAAAATATCCTTCACATATAGGACACACCTGCTTGCAAAGAGTTATCCTACCCAAAATGCAAGAGGGCTGAGAAACAGGGCATTAGGGTTATAAAAATAACTCCTGTTTGTATAGGAGGCCTAATTTTGAAGCTGTTTCTCTCTCCTGCAGTTAGGGGCCAGCACCTGCCTTGTCCCCTCTGCCTGTTGATGTAGAGCATTGCGGTGTGGTTCCCACGGGTTAGGGTTGAGCCGACAGATGGTTGTGCTCCTCTGCCGTGAAGAAAGGCCTGAGAGTCAGTATCCCCACGGAGCAGGTCTGCTTTGTCTCCATGACTTGGAAATGTGTCTATACCAATGGGCTTCGTAGAGGTTGGATTGAATTGCTTCAGTTTTTCTTGTATGTTTTCTGAGAGTCACAGTGATTCCTGAAACTATTGAACTCAAGGACCAACTGTGGAGACTGAGAAAGGCTGGCTTGGAAGGGAAGGCAGGAAAGACAGGAGTGTTGCTCTCCAGCTAATGTACACCCTGGCCGGCTGCTTTGTCATGAAGAAGAAACTCCCATAGTCTTATCTCTTTTTTTGTAATGTTTTTATTTATTTCTTGCAATTATTATTATTTTTTTTTTCATTTTACACTGGCTGCCCTACAAAGTTCGTACACATTGCCCCTCACACTTGGATCCCCCCGCCTCCCCAACCCACTCCCCACTCCACCCATCAAACCACGTGACCGCATGATTACCCCCTGCCCATGCCCACTCCTCTGCTTCCCCTTTCCACCTGTATTTTCTTTATAGGATCACTGTAGTCAGGAGAGGGACTTCTTGTTGGCAGCTCCAATGACAACTCTCCTTTGTCATGTTTATGTGTAGTGAGGGTGGTTGTGCCCTGTACTGTTCCTTTCTGTGTGTGTGTGTGAGAGAGAGAGAGAGAGACAGACAGACAGACAGAGAGATAGAGACAGAGAGACAGAGACAGAGAGAGCGCTCATCTCTTCTTGTACATTTGTTTAGTATTTGTTCTAGCTGTCCGGTGTAAGAAGTGTGAAAGTTGAATAACCCCCACCTCTGTTCATTTCTATTTTAATTACAATAGTGAAAGGCTTCAAATAGCAGACAGGCCGGGTAGTGGTGGTGCCAACAAGTCATTGTGACTCACAGTGGCCCCTGTGAAAGGACAGAATTACCCCATATGGTTTCCAAAGCTGCAACCCTTTGCAGAAGCAGACTGCAACTCTTTGCAGAAGGAGACTGCCTCATCTTTCTTCCAGGAGGTGACTGATGGCTTAAAACCACCGACTTTCCGGTTAACATGGAAATTCTCTAACCCCTGTACCACCAGGGCTCCTCAGAAACTGCTGTCGAATGGGTTCTGACTGTAGGACAGAGCAGAATCGTGCTCTCAACTCTTTTCTTTCTGATACTCGGGATATCATTGCTGATGTCAGGTAGATCTTGACTAAAAACAGAGAGTACCAGAAGATGGTCCATTTATGTTTTATTGACTATGAAAAGGCATTCGACTATGTGGGCCATAACAAACTGTGGCTAATATTGAGAAGAGTGGGAATCCCAAAACACTTGACTGTGCTCATGTGAAACCTATACCTAGACCAGGAAGCTGTTGTATGAACAGAGCAAGGGAACACTGAATGGTTGAAAACTCAAGGAAGGGGTGTGTCAGGGATGTCTCACCATACCTTTTCAGTCTACATGTGAAAGAGATCATTCAAGAGGCTGGACCTTATGAAGAAGAATGTGTGTCAGTATTGGCGGACTTGTGTTAGGCAAATGATACAGTCTTGCTTGCTCAAACCTAGGAGGACCTGAGGCATTTGCTGTAGAAGGTCAAAGACTCTAGTCTTCAATATGGATTGTACGTCAACATGAAAAGAACAAAGAGTCTCACCCATGGGGCCTGTTGGCAGCATCAGGATAGATGGAAATAGTCTGAGGTTGTTAACACTTTCATCTTGCTCAGATCTGCAGGCAACATTCTTGACAGCAGCAGTCAGGAAATCAAAAAACAAATCGGATTGGGAAAGTCTGCTGTCAGTGTCCTCTCAAGAGTGCTGGAGAGCAACAGTGCCAGTCTAGAGACTGAGGTGCCTGATCCAAGTCATGGCTTTCACAATTACTTGCTATGCATCAGAGAGCTGGACAGTGACGATGGATGACAGAAGAAGAATCAATACCTTGAATTACTGTGCTGGAGAAGAGTATTGAACATGCTATGGACCACCAAGAGAACAAACAGGTCTATCCTGGAGTGGGTACTCCTTGGAGGCAAGAATTTTGAAGCCCCATCTCACAACTTTGGGTATTTTGCCAGGAAGGACTGGTCCTTGGAGACGGGCATCATGCTTGGAAGGGTGAAGGATCAATGCAGGAGAGGAAGATGCTGGATGAGATGGAGTAATACAGTGACTCTGGCAGTGGAGGGTGGGGAAGTGTGTCAGAGACAGAGATGCTGGCTCAGGATAGGACAGGATTCAGGGCTATTGTCCATAGGGTAGCTATGAGTTATAAACTTGATGGTACATAGCAACAAGGGACATAGATGTTACCTGAACACAAGGAGTTCTTTATGTATTCAATTGCCAGTAAGACACAGGGATTGCAATAAATACCCAAAACACTTTTTTTCAGGTCTGGAAGAGCAGCGAGATTCTTCTCCAAAACTGCCTTCCTGTTTTAGGAGTGTTCATTAGATTTTTATACTTGGGCTAGACTTTTGCTATTAAAAAGAATAGTTTCCCCTTGATCTTGTTGTGGTGCTCGAGTATTTTATAAATTCTAGATATAAGTCCCTTGTCTGACATGTCATTACCA